TTTTTTTTTTTTTTTTTTTTTTTTTTTTTTTTTTTTTTTTTTTTTGATAGAAGGCTCTCTTTAAGGTTGCCCACTCCGGTCCTGAACTCCTGGGCTCGGCAATCCTCCTATCTGTTTCCTGAATGTTTGGCCATAATTACTAAAGACACTCACCACTGTGCCAAGCAGCTGCTTACCACTTGATGATCTAAACCACATGAACTGAATTTTCACCCCAATATACTATTTCTCTTAGACATGTTCTTTTTTTATTTGTTTTGTTTTTTGTTTTTTCTCTGCTCCCCTCCCTGTCTCTCCCCTCCCTCCTGCAATTTCCCCCCAGGTCCTCATGCTCCCAATTTACTCAGGAGATCTTGTCTTTTTATACTTTCTACTTCCCATGTAGATTAGATCTATGTACGTCTCTCTTAGTGTCCTCATTGTGTCTATGTTCTCTGGAATTGTAGTTTGTAGGCTGGCTTGTAAGACTTTAAGACAATTATGAATCCTCTCAGCCTCCGTGCCATAGTGCTTCCCCTCCTCCCCTGGGAACTAAGGACCTAACAGCTACACACACACATACTCAGTTCCTAAACAATTACCCATATACATATGTTTTGATTCGGTCCCCTGGGAAATGGGGTCAAAATGACTTCCTACCTCATCTGATCTGGCAACAGCTCTCCAGCCAATTATTGGGTAATAGCCCTTTTGAATAAGCCAATCACAACCCCCCTTGCTTCTGTGGCCCCTTTAAAAGTAGACTGTACCAGCTATTCGGGGTCTCTTGGCTTCCCGAATGCTGAGGGACCCTGTCATGACAGAATTAATAAAATCCTCATGCTTTTGCATTGGCTGTGGTGTGTGAGGTGGTCTCAGGGGGCGACTCCTCCTCAGTGTTTGGACGCTAGAGTCCAACAGGCTTTCTTTGTTTTATGTTTAAAAACCACCTATGAGTGAGTACATGTGATAATTGTCTTTCTGTGCCTGGGTTACCTCACTCAAAATAATGTTTCCTAGCTCCATCCATTTGCCTGCAAAATTCAAGCTGTCATTATTTTTCCTGCAGTGTAGTACTCCATTGTGTAAATGTACCACATTTTTCTTATCCATTCTTCAATCGAGGGGCATTTAGGTTGTTTCCAGGTTCTGGCTATGACCAACAAAGCTGCTATGAACATAGTTGAGCACATGTCCTTGTGGCACGATTGAGCCTCCTTTGGATAGATACCCAATTGGTATTACTGGGTCTTGAGGAAGGTTGTTTCCTAATTTTCTGAGAAATCACAACACTGACATCCAAAGGGGTTGTACCAGCTTGCATTCCCACTAGCAATGCAGGAATGTTCCCTTTTCCCCACAACCTCTCCAGCATAAGTTGTCATCAGTGTTTTTGATCTTGGCCATTCTTAGAGGTGTAAGATGGAATCTCAAAGTTGTTTTGATTTGCATTTGTCTGATGACTAAGGATGTTGAACAGTTCCTTAAGTGTTTTTCAGCCATTTTAGATTCCTTAGTTTTTGTTTATCAAGAGAAGATTTCTCTGTAGTCCTTGCTTTCCTGGAACTCACTCTATAGACCAGGCTGAACTCAAGATCCATTTAACCCTGCCTCCTGAGAACAGTATTCGACCACCACCCTGCTTAAAATAATTTTCAAGACAGGTCCTTAGGCTGTATGGCTGGCCGGTTTGGAATTGACTACATCAGGCTAGTACTGAAGTCACTGAGACTTAACAACCTCTGCCTCCCAAATATTAAAGGCGTGTGCCACCATTTTCGGGTACTGATCCTGTTATACCCAGATCGTGGAGCTTCCCCAAGAACCAACAAGGAGGCTGAGTCCCGTGTCTAAAAGCAAAAGGCCTGGCTGGGTGGTGGTGGCGCACGGCTTTAATCCCAGCACTTGGGAGGCAGAGGCAGGCAGATCTCTGTGAGTTCGAGACCAGCCTGGTCTACAAGAGCTAGTTCCAGGACAGGCTCCAAAACCAGAGAGAAGCCCTGTCTCGAAAAACCAAAAATAAAATAAAATAAAATAAAATAAAATAAAAGCAAAAAGCCTTTATTCATATTTAAGTTCAAACCCGGACTCTCTATGTTTCCAACGCATTGCATGATCAGAGAAACCCGAGCTCAGTTGGACTGGGATTTTTATTTTCTATTTTATTTTAATTTACCTTTTTGGTTTTTGAGACAAGGTTGCTCTGTGTAACAGCCCTGGCTCTCCTAGAACTAGTTCTCGTAAATCAGGCCACTCTTGATTTTACAAAGCTCTGCCTGCCTCTGCCTCCCTTCTTGCACCTCCCCCACTATTTCCCCCAGTGCTGGGATTAAAGGCATTCACCACCACCACCCAGTGTAGTGGGGTTTTTTATAATAGCTTAGGTTGGGATGAGGAATTTCTAAATCTCAGAAGGGCTGATGTTTGTCTAGGTGTGTCTTGATGGAAGGGGATCAGTGTGCTGGGCCGAGGGACATTCAGTGATTCTACAATAGTTGGAACTTTAGGAATTATTTTTGAATGGTCGGTTCCTGGGTGGTACCTGGGTGGGCTCAGATAGTGGTCTTTCCTGGAACCAGGTATTGCCTTAGGGTAAACTGAGACTCAGGCCTTCTTTCCTGTTGGTCTCTACAGAGCCTGTCTTGGCAGGAGTATACCAAGCTGCCCTGGGACCTACAATTCAAACTTTTATTTATATATTTTTTTAAACATTCATTCTAGGTGTTTTGCCTGCCCGTGTGAATTTGCACCATGTGTATGTCTGGTGCCCAAAAAGGTCAGAGGGGGGGCTTCAGATCTCCAGAGACTGCTCTTGAAGATCATTTCAAGCCACCACGTGGGTGCTTGGGGATGGCCGATCAACAGGTGCTCACTGTTGCTAATCCACTATCCAGTCCCCAGGTTCCACTCTCGAGTTCATCTCCTTGAGCAAGTTTGCTCGTCTGATCTTCCTGAAGCACACTCTGTATCTGGGGAGCCAAGATATCCTTAAAAGCCACCTCTTCTGTTTCGTTCTGTTCATTGGTTAGAAAGCAGGTCTCATGTGGCTCAGGCTGTCAGTGCCTTTACAATATAACTAAAGATAACTGAAGATGACTTTGAACTGGTCCTCCTGCCTCCAGCTCTTGAACTCTGAGGTTCAGGCATGCCCTAGCATGTCTGGTGCAGTTAGTGGTGGGAAGAAGACTCAGTGTACACTGGGCAGCTCTCTAGGAACTGAGTGCATCCCCAACACCCTGACCACCGTATTAATGCATGCAAGCCATCCTCCTGTCTCACCCTTTTGAGTAGCTGCTATTTCAGTTTATTGACAGAGCATCCAGTTCAGGCCTTGAGCTCCTGAACATATTCCTAACTAAGTGTTTTCCCAGGTCCAATGACAAAAACATTTTTGAATTATTTTTATGACTGTTATCAACAATATACTAAATCCCAATCTAAGTCAAACCCAGACTGACTTTGGTCACGTGAATCAAATTCAGCGAGGTTTGGTGATTCATTAGAGAAATCCTAGCAAAGATGCTGAGGCAGGAGGATTCCTAGGAGTTAAAGTGCCAAAACAATCTCAGCTTCAGAGCAAAATACAGTCTGTGCAACAAATTCAAAACTGAGTAATAAATAAGCAAATAAAAGAAGAAATCAACAAACTCAGTGTTGTGTAGTTCATTAACAAGTGGAATATTTGTGTTTAATCCAAGACTTTTGAAAGGCAGTGGGGGTGTTTTCTCAAGGAGTTCTAATTCAAATCAATAATATGATTGAATGTTTTCTGCAGAATTAAAATGACAGAGATTGAACCATCTAGTCAAATAGCAGTGTTAGGTTGGAAGGTGGGACCGAAATAGGGAAGTTGGGCAGAAAGGTGTATAAAGGCTTCTGGAGGAAGTGGTGTTGGCTCACGCCTTTAATCCCGGCACTTGGAAGGCGGGGGCGGGCGGGCTAAAGTGCAAGGACGGCCAGGACACGCTTCAGTGCTACAGAGAAAGAAACCCTATCTCGAAAAACCAAAATTTAAAAAACCAACCAAACAAAAGGTTTCAGGAGATCCACTGGACATACTCAGAGACCTGGAGCCTAAAGGAACTGCCTGGCTCGGCTGGGATAAAGAGACCAACCTGTCATCAGTGCTCAGAAGTGGTGAGTGGATGTCCCCTGTGGACTCCTGTGGTTTGATATTGTTGGACTCTAGCGTCCAAACACCGAGGAGGAGTCGCCCCCTGAGACTACCTCACACACCACAGCCGATGCAAAGGCATGACGATTTTATTAATTCTGTCATGACAGGGTCCCTCAGCATTCGGGAAGCCAAGAGACCCCGAATAGCTGGTACAGTCTACTTTTAAAGGGGCCACAGAAGCAAGGGGGGTTGTGATTGGCTTATTCAAAAGGGCTATTACCAATAATTGGCTGGAGAGCTGTTGCCAGATCAGATGAGGTAGGAAGTCATTTTGACCCCATTTCCCAGGGGACCGAATCAAAACATATGTATATGGGTAATTGTTCAGGAACTGAGTATGTGTGTGTGTGTAGCTGTTAGGTCCTTGGTTCCCAGGGGAGGAGGGGAAGCACTATGGCACAGAGGCTGAGAGGATTCAGAATTGTCAGAAATGGCTTCAAGATTGTCTTAAAGTCTTACAATATCAGAACCTTTAGACCGAAGAAGGGACTGGAAACTTTTATTTCTGTCTCGTCAGATGAACACATTGAAGACAATGGGTTTGGTTCTCGATGAAGTTTTACCTTAATCTCAGATGTTGATCTACAATAGCTCCTGGTTTCATTATGGTTGATGATTGCTTTGAGACAAGGTTTTCCTGTGTTGTTCAAGCTGTCTTAAAACTGTCCCTATAGCTCTAGCTAGGCTGGAGATGAAGGTCCTCCTGACTCAGGGCGCTGAGGTTACCAGCGCATTCCCTCATACTGTGGCCCATTCAAATGATTGCTTTTATTTGTTTTATTTATTTGGGGAGGGGGGCGGTTCAAGACAAGGTTTCTCCATAGCTTTGGAGCCTTTCCTGGAACTAGCTCTTGTAGACCAGGCTGGCCTTGAACTCACAGAGGTCCGAGTGCTGGGATTAAATTAAAGGCGTGTGACACCACTGCTCACGGCTCAAATGATTGCATTTGTTTTTGTGGAATAAGAGCACTTGTAGACCTTTGGATCACAGATCTTTGATTTCTGGGAAGTTCTGCTTGAGACTCACAGCAGCAGGAACTGCAATTGCACCTTCAATCTTGACTTGGGCTTTAGTTTGCGTCCTTATCAAAGGACTATAAAGCTCTTATTAAAGAACTTTGCTGTTTTAGATGTGGTCTGGCTCTAACACAGGGTGCCCAGAAAACTGGAGGAACCCACTGCCATAATCCTCCTTGGTAGGAATTAAGCTAAACATTGGACACAATACAAGGGTTTTTGATGTTGTTACTGGGAACAAGGGTCACACAAGGTATTTTGAGGTTTGTGCCCATTCAGGGGCTAGAGAGGCTGCCCTGCTGACGGTGAGGAAGTCTGACTTTACATCACCAGGGAGGACAATGGTTGAAATCGATGTTTCTACCATTGCTGGGGAAATAAGTTCTAACCTTGAGTGGTTACTGTGCTGGGTGAGGGAGATTTCTAAACTTTATCCTGAAAGTATGTTTTCCCCGGAATGCTTGCTCAGGAGCCTTCTGCCTGAAAACCCTTCATGATGAGTGTGCAGACCCCACCCACACTCATGCAGCTGGCACGGAAGGCTCTGCTGAGAAATGAGGCCTTGGCCATCTCTGCTCTGGAGACACTGCCCACGGAGTTCTTCCCAGGCCTCTTCAAGGACGCCTTCCATGACAGACACGCTAGGATTGTGAAGGCAATGGTGGAAGCCTGGCCTTTCCCCTGCCTCCCTGTGGGGACTTTGATGAAGACTCCCAACTTGGAAACCTTCCTGGCTCTGCTTGATGGCATAGACACGTATCTGGACAGAAGGTTTCACCCCAGGTGAGCAGTAACCAAGTCTGCTAGCCTGGAGCACATGGGGCACACTGAAGAGACCGCAGGGTTGGGAGAATGGCCTTGTAAGTGGGTCAGAGGCTTCTGCTAGGATCATCATGTCGGGATGCAGGGGTCTTGAAAGCTATGGTTTGCTTGTAGTAAAGACAGTTGAGTATGGAATAGAGCTTAGAGTAAATGCAGCCACTGGATTGATTGAGTGTCTCCCAGGCATCCTACAAACACTAATAATGAAACTCAGTAGATATAAAGTATCTTAATGGAAGGAAAGTAGTCAGGTCTGCATATGCAGCTCAGGGAAAATGTCCATAGCACACTTGAGTTCCTACACTGGACACGCAGTGCTGAAGAGACACATACCTGGCCAGGAGTGAAGAGCTGACATTAAGGATGTGTATTGTAAGCTGGCTCAGTGTTGGGCTATCATGTCTGCTGACACTTTGGACGTTTTGCCCACAGGAGGGAGCAACTTCAGGTGCTCGACCTGAGGCAAGTGTGCTATGACTTCTGGAGAATATGGACCGGAACAGAGGGTGGGGAGGGCGCTGCAGAGACTGTGGAAGAGAAGCAAGTAGTGAAGGTTCTTCCCAGGTACACACTGAGGAGGCGTCTGAAGGTCATAGTTGAACTCTGCCTTTGGCCCAACTTGAGAGAAGAACAGGCATGCTTCCTGCAGTGGGCCAAACAGAGAAAAGACTCCCTCCAGCTCCTCTGTACGAAGATGAAGATCAAGGTAATGCCCGCATGCACCATCAAAGCGCTCTTGAATTTCCAGCCGCAGCACATTGAAGAACTGGACCTGTACTTGGTGTATGATGTGTCCACCCTGGAATGTTTCGCTCCCTGCCTCGGCCAGATGAGAAGTCTTCACAAACTCTCCCTGACTCTTATCCGGAACACTATGAGATTTGGCAACAGAACACCATTCATAGAAGAGGAGTGTGCCAGGACATTGATTTCTCAGTTCTCCAAGTTTAACTGTCTGCAACATCTCTCCTTAACTGGGGTCTATTTTCTGAGAAACCACATGGAACAGTTACTCAGGTAAGCAAGGTGGAGAGCTGGGTCAGCCACCACAGCTAATCTTTAATTTGAAGAGTGGGTACATGGTTCCCTGCCAGTCACTGGGAACAATAATGGTGAAAGTTTAAAAAAAAAATAATGGTGAAAGTTGTGGGTGTGACTTGGTTTAGTAGACTCCTATGTAGCATCTGGGCACACTCATTGTTCATATAGTCTAACTGACCTTGAGACACATGCCCTGTCTTCCTTTATATAAACCCTCAGGATACACAGTCTCAAACCTTTTCTCTGACCCAATCCCTTTGCCTGTTCCTAGGTGCCTGACAACCCCCTTGGAGACTCTCACCACCACTGGCTTCCATCTGTCACAGCGCGACTTGGATTACTTCCCCTTGTGTCACAGCCTCTGTCAGCTAAAACATCTGGACATGAGTGGTGTGATATTATTGACCTCATATCTTCCGCCTCTCCGAGTTCTGTTAGAGAATGTGGCGGACACTCTGCAGTCCCTGGACTTGCAGTGCTGTGGGATGAGGGACTCTCACCTCACTGTTCTCATCCCTGCCCTCAGCCAGTGCTCACAGCTCACTAAGTTAAACTTGTACGACAATGACTTCTCCGTGCCCATCCTGAAGGACCTTTTGCACCACACAGCCAACTTGAGGAAGCTGAGTGTGGAACAGTACCCTGTTCCTCCACAGTGCTATGATGAGTCAGGTTACATCTCTGTAGAGAGATTTTCCCATATTTGCCATGAGCTCATGGGTACACTCAGAGCCAGAAGGCAGCCCAAGGGTATCTCCTTTGCTACCTATACCTGCAGTAAATGTACTGCGCGCTGTGTGTATGACCAGGCACCCAGACTTTGTTTTTGCTGGCCATAAGTAGAGAATATGGCTTATGATTTGAAGACATGGAAGGCTTGGGACACATCTCTCACCTAGGGTCTCAGAGCTCATGACTTCAGACACTGCAAACATGGCTAGGAACAGAACGATGTGCAGTGAGGAGGACCCTGCAGGGAGAACAATGGGACAGTGGGGACAGACAGCAAGAGTCCTGTGGAGTCAGGAGACAATTTTGTGTTTCTATGTGGCTTCTGTTGGTGGAACAGTGACTCTGTCCTGCACCTGCTAACCTGGATGCTCTTGCTCTGGGGTCTTTTTCAGTTATTAACCTCACTGCCAGGCTTAGGTGATTCTGGCCAGTGAAACAGAGGTCTGGATCACATTGGCAGCAATAAAGTAAAAGCTTTTCTGACCCTTATTCTTGTCCTTGGCCTGTGAGTTAGTCATGTTCCTTTTGTGTGGTTCTTCTGTTCTGTGCACCAAAATTCCAACTTAAGGGAGCGGTGCAGATACCTCCTGTGAAGGATGTGTAGGGACCACAGAGGATGAACATCCCGTGTACTCAGACCTCGGCACTGGGATCTACCAGAGATGCCTGAAGGGAAGAAGACAACACTGAGCAGAGGGAACAGGGTTTGTGACATTTATTTTTCTTCCACATTAGAAATTTTCTTATTTGATAGCCTCAAGTACTCTAGGCTGGCTTGAATTCTTGATTTTTTTTTTTTTTGCCTCCCTGACAGTACCACCATGAGCCGCCATGTCCAGCTTGCTCACCCCGTGTCTGTAGGGCTGTGTTCCTGTGGTATTTCCTTTATAAAGCAACCCATGGCCGCACAGTGGTGGTGCACACCTTTAATCCCAATAGTTAGCAGGCAGAGTCAGGAGGCTCTCTTTGTGTTCAAGGCCAGCCTGGTCTACAAAAGCTAGTTCCAGGACAGGCTCCAAAGCTACAGAGAAACACAGTTTCAGAAATACCAAAAGCAAAAAAAAAAAAAAAAAAAAAAAAACCAAACTAACCATTGATAAAAACCAAACCCCCCTATACTCTTATCATTCTACAATAAGAACTTTGACGGCGCAGACAGACTTCCAAGTCACAGTGATGCCTATACTCACTATGTGGGTTCTAGGAATGAACTCAGGTCAT